AGGAAAAAATGCAGCTTCCTATGAAGATAATAATTAAGAATATTAATGCTCAGCACTATTTTACTATAATGACTTAATCACACCATCTGAATGCATTTGTGCTGCTGACAATTGTTGATACATCTCACGCTGTATTCCTACAACGTTTAAAGCTACTCTGGATGCTACATGGGAGTAACACAACGTTTAGGAACACTTAAACAGTATTTGCGATGTTACAACTGATTTTTAAGCATGAAGCTGAATTAATAACAAAGTATAAATCAATGGAAGTATGCCAAAAAAGTGTTTATTAAGTTATAAAAAGGAAGAGGTAAATCAGTTAAGGAAAATTTCACTTTCGACGACAAGATTTCCTATAACTGTGCCGTTGTATTTGTTGACACCAAAAACATATAATAGTCTGCTGCCAAATAATCGGAAATAGTCACTCCCTCGGAAAAGTGTTCAAGACTTAAATAAGCAGTGGGAGGTTGTAAGAGTCGGTGGTCTTACCTCCTCGACTGTGTTATTTAGTCATCCTATTTTCAACTTATTCGTCACCTGCTCCCTTTGAGAAAAATGCTAATGATATATGCATATATATATATATATATTCTTCAGCCATTACTTGTTTTTAATTTTCCTGTTAATTTTATGTTTGTACGTTTGTTGATGATCTATGGTCGACTGTTCGCGATGACATTTAAGCATTTATCTCTTAACGCCATAAAAACCCTTTCTTGTTTGTGCACCAATTAACAAAGGTAATCCAATAGTTCCAAATATCTTACCAAAGGACTTGGAAGCATCTATGTGATGTAAAAAATGGAAAAGAGGGTACAATATGTTTGTAATAAATCCACCTATTTACAAAGACTAACAGGATGCTGAGCAATCTAGTGATATTGACATAAAAATAGATAGGGAAAAGAGTCTAACGTCTAGATCACGAAGAGAACAAAGAGTAAATTTGATTACTAATTGAACTAATCACAATGCAGGAATAGACATTTATGTATAATAATATGCCTCTTTGTATAAGTATTCCAGCCCTTGATTACCTAGGGATGAAAGTTGTTTCTTCGCAGAACAGCAGATTAACATTCCTTTGACTACTCTTTCGCCGATTAGTTAAAGTAAATCCATGTTGCTATATGCGAATTTATCTACAATACTTTGAATAAACGTTAACTGGTTGTTTGACTATATGACTACATTATGACTGGTAGGCTCATCCCATTATGACAGGAAGATAATCGAAGTTTTGAAGACTGGGGGGAACAAGAATGATGACTGAATTAAAAGTTCGACTGCATCCGTAGTTTAGCCTTATAGTCCATTCCATTCAATTATGTCCTTCAACTTGAAGGTCTATATTTTGAATCCTACTATAATCTAGTTTCTGCTCCAGCTTTAATTACTATCTCCGTTATCTTTTCAATGTCAGAACTGAGATATATGAGAAGAGGTTCAAGTAAACCTAAATTTAAAAGATATTTGTCGCAATACGATGGCGTGTATAAAATATCATCAAGTTAGAAACAGTGGACTACAATTTCTCAAGGAAACTAATTCCTTATATAATACAGCTTATAAAACATGCTAGGGAAATAATTAGAATAAGTCAAGAAAATTCGGTTAGCTTAAGTCGCTTACTTATTGTTAAAAATCCCAAAATTAGGGAAAGGTAGCTGATGAATACCACATGTTAATCACTGGTTTTCTAGTCGACGTCAACTTATGATGAAAACTACCTGGATGCATATTTAATCTGGCCATTATTTCATATTATCGAAATTAATAATGCACTAGCTGAAGTCAAACAAGGTTTTAACTGCAACATATGCTCCGATTTAAAAGTTGTGTTAGTTCTGTCATCGTTTTTTTTTTGATGCCCCATGCTTCATAACAATGACTGTTCAGATTTCATTCAAACCCTTCGAAAATCCAACGATACATCATACAAGTCTCTGGGAGTTTAGAACAGCAAAAAACAATCCTGAGTAAGTACAGACGTGATTATGAGCAATCTCACAGTCATAAGATGTTTTCAACTATTAGTAAAGGGTATTGGATCTGATTTCTACTCACCGAAACATCCCACCCATCTCCTTTCTTCATCATCAGTTGAAAATTACCTTCCAATCCTAATTTCCTTTTAGCACTAAAAATGACAAGGACAATGAGTGTTCATTTGATTTCTCTTTTAAATTGAATATCCATTGCAAACTAAAACACGGACTGGACATTCATCTGTCTGCTTACTAAACTAAGGATATAAGAATTATCAGTGGGAAACTTCAGTGTGAACGACCACATCTCCTAGTGGAAAACATTTGTCAGTACTATCTCTAATAACGTGATGCTGAAACAGTTATTTTTATATCAGCTAGTTATTCATGAAAGTAATGTTCTTTGACTTTCCTTTTATTTCTTACCTAATTTCATAAGGGTCACCATCATAAATTCATTTGTTGTTAAAAAGAGAATAGGAAAAAAGGATTTAAGTATTTCAGTACTAACATAAATCAGTTAGGACAAAAATAAACTAATAATGACTTTTCATGTACTAAACATTTTAATCAGATATTTTTCAGAGAAATTACTCTAGTTTTTTTTCTGTGATGGGAACAAGAGGAAAACAAAATACATACCCAACTTGATAATATTGTTAATAACCTAAATCTTTTTATTTAAGCTTAAATTCTTTATTTCAAGTTGTTATTCATCGCAGACTGACATCAGTTGGAGGAACAAAGGAAACCTGGGAGCACTGGACAGCTGTTTCGTCCTAGTATGGGACTCCTCAGCAGTGCGCACCCACGACCCCACCAGCAGGGATCGAACCCGCGACCTTCATGTTCCGCGGCCAGCGCGTTACCATTGAGCCACTGGGTCAGAATCCAATGCTCCATATTTTTTCGTAAGCTAACAGAAGTTGGAAATATGGAGCATTGGATTCTGACCCAGTGGCTCAATGGTAACGCGCTGGCCGCGGAACATGAAGGTCGCGGGTTCGATCCCTGCTGGTGGGGTCGTGGGTGCGCACTGCTGAGGAGTCCCATACTAGGACGAAACAGCTGTCCAGTGCTCCCAGGTTTCCTTTGTTCTTCCAACTGATGTCAGTCTACGATGAATAACAACTTGAAATAATTCCAAATCTCCACAACTCCCTCAAAATTTAATTAAATTTTTTAATTACAATAATATCCATGATATGTGTGTTCATAAGACTAACTCTGTCCAACAACTCCGTAAACACAGATCATTTGAGTGCCAAATTTAATTTCTCATCTAAGACATTTCATCAGTCTAACCTAAATACAATTTCTCAATGCAAAAGAATCAATATATCCCACTATATTTCCCATACAGTAGTGTAATAAGAATAATGGGTAAATTACAAAATTAATAAATAAATAGGTCTTTCCATTTAGCTCTTGTTCCTTGTTTGTATCCTTACGTTTGTATTTATTCTGAACTGTTGACATGAAATACCAGTCTACTGGTGGAAATTTGACTGAAATAAAATTTATAACTTTTGTAGATGTGCTGAGATGATAACAAATCATACAAATAAAATTAATAGTTAAGAAAGCGAAAAAGTCATAGGTAATAGAATTTTGAAAGCTAAGGTAAACTGTCACTTGCTAGGTAAGTAGTACAATGATGATAAATGTGAAGAATGATGCTGTCGAACTGTTCATTATTGAGACCAGCTAGCTAAGAGTATTATGACTGAAGAAAGAAAATTCTATGAAAAAAATATCAGTGTAGCTGTGATGTTTTCATAGTTTATGAAAGTTAAATCAATTTACGTGAAAGACAAGAATAAGGGGAAAGGCTGTATAAACTGCTTTTCAACATACATATTCTGCTTGCTGAAATAAACTACAAAACCTATCAGTGTGCAGAAAAAAGAATTCTGATAGCATCTGTAAAACTAGAAGCAATTGGGTTAATAACTTAATATAACTTATTTATAAAAATTTGATGTTACGTCAGTGTAACTTCTCATTGATCTTAACCTCCTTCAGTCAACTGCAACTGATGATGGACTGAAAATTATGATTCAGTAGTACTGCCTGATATATCTGGCTGTACAAGATCATTTAAAAGGATAAAAATACATAAAAGAGGGCAATACAATCACGAAACCAATACTTGTTGCCCGATGAATAAGCAACATAACTTTATAGCACTGAATTCCGTTTTCAAGGTATAAATAAACTTTTACACTGCGTTGTTTCCAAGGATTTCATCCAGAAACTGCAGTTTCAAATACAGTGACATTCTTTACAGATGTTGACGATATGATACTTTGTTGAAGTTATAAACTCCCCAGAAAGTTTCACTGGGTATTGATTTCCATGGCTTTTCTATAACAGTGACTTCTGAGCAGCGAAGTAAACTTAGTACTAAATTTTGTCTATATTATTAAGATACGGAAATTGAAAAGTGCACATACTAACTGGCTGATATGAGTTTTCAATGTATATTCTTTTCCCTTGTTCTATCTTCTTTACTTGTTATGCTGATATCTAAAGATACGACACTACAGTTGTGTCCTTCTTTAATGGCAAAGACAGTAGGCAGATTAACACCGCTATATTTTTCCACTGTGTCCAATGCTTGATTTTCATCCTTTGACTCTATAGGGATACAACACATTACAAAACATTGACATTTTAATACTAACAGTGATCACATTTATTTAATCTACAACAACGTTGAACGTGAAAGTGGTTATGGTCATTAACCAGATACTGTTTATAAAAACAATCTTAGTCAAAACAGTCTACTTGTGCGTATGTGAACCATCGATTTCACAGTCAAGCAATTAGGTTTTCTAATCGACAGTCTATATATGTATATATATATATATATTGCATGCCGTGCAAGCAGGGTAGATAATGTAAGAATTAATTGACCTTGAAACAAATATCTATGAAATTTATTTAAATTCATTTAAATATTTCTATTCATTTTCCTATTTGTTTACTTTTCAATTTAAACAGTCTATGCGTGCTGCAAATCAGTTAGCGAAAACCAGTCAGCTGACACATAGTCAACCAAGAATGTCAAAATCAAAAATTTCCAGTAATATGAGATTAAAAGCATTAACATTCAAGTCAAATTACAGATTATCTCATAATTTCATTGAACATGGATCTACAACACAAACAACACTAAGAGCAATGGCTAACTGGTCTAGAAGACGAATAAGATTGAGATCTTAGTTGTAAACCGTAATCCATTCGATAAGAAAAGGGGGATGCTGCTACAAATCAGATTACAAAGAAATCTCTAAAGCTTATACAAAATTATGCAAGTGGAACAGTTTGTGAACTATTTCGAAAAAAAGATTCACAAACTTCCGTTTTATCCATTTTACTTGTCAGTTTTTTTGACTAGCGTATGCAACAAGAATTTATTTTAGAAAGCTTGTTTATGCCTTCTGTAACTTCTATTTGTATTTATGAAATCTACTAAGTAACTGCTGATAGTCGATTACTTGGAGTATATTTTATATCAGAAAGCAATATTTACTGAAGAACTAAGTCCCTGAAGATGGTTGGAAAGTTGTTTCCTTCTGACTGACTCTTAACATTCTCTGGGGATAATAATCAAAAACCAAAGTTTTAACGATCAAAATGCGATCACAATGTCCCGTTCGATAGCAATTCAAAAGTTATATTTATAGCCTGAGACACTTCATAATATCACATCTTATTGTTGCCTGAGGTTATTCACTATTACTGTTTGATTGTTTCTTCACATGTTAAAGTTTTGAGATATAACTTGAGAATTATCCATTTGAACCAGCTTAGAAGTGAGCACTACACGATCAAAAGGTTAGATGAAGCACCTTTATCTCACTACTTTCTTTCCGACAACATAAGAGGTTGATAATACTAACTAATAACCAATCTCACATTCAATTGAAAGGGTTTTCTAGTATCATTTAAACCTAGGCCATTTGGAGGAAGTTAGGATAAGTCTCTGAGTCGGGTTAGAATTATCTCTTGGTGACTTCTAAAATTTAATACTAACAACCAGTTTATTTCTCATGATTGATATTAACAACGCTAGAAAATAAAGCGTCTTTCAGTTAACATAGATTTTCATGTTGCACTTTTATCCACCCTTAGGATTACTGAACGTCGCTTATTGACCACCGGAGAGTGATTGACTTAATAACTTGACATAACTTTGGTTGTAATTGACTTAGCGCGTGATTTAACTTATCCAGTAATGACACCAACCTTGAACGAGCTGTTCTCAACTATGAGTAACTGTAAGAATGACTTTAAACGCCACCCTAGCAACTGTTAAGATAACCAATTAAACTGCTCCATTTTGTGAAAAACTACATTTCAGCTGGAGTAACGAAACCTGATTGATAATTTCAGCAGTTGCCAGGGTTGCCTTTAAAGTCACTCACAAATATGCCCGTTCGGTATCTTATTCTCAGTTCACCCACATGATGAATCATGGAATTTCTCCCCTCCCAACCGCGTGCAGCAGACCACAAAGTGTAATGCTTATTGTCCGTACATATGTAGGCTGTCTCATTCATCTGAATATATAAATAAATAACTTTACCACAAAGCATCATAATTTATAAAAATGAAACAACTGATTTCAAGCACAAAATATGGGATTATGCGTGGGTCACACAGAAATGGATGAGAAATCAATCAAAATCTCTTGAACCCAGCTTTACAATAATGTTTACAATTAAGTCATAAGTAAAACGGCTCTTAAATTATACAAAATAATACGACCAATGATACTTATTTGAGATTCACATTTTCGACTTTCTGGCTGATATAACACCTCCCCCAGTTTTGAATACTTCTTGTTATGACCGTTGATATGGATTAGGAACCCATCTATCTGTTTTGTATCGTTTCCTAAATGACCTTATTATAGGTGTTTCCAATTTTTTCTTTGTTGATATTCTCTTCTACCGTGACTGAATATCTGTTTCTGTCAAAGACAAAATGGCGTTTTGAGGCTTCATCTGCCTTCTTCTAAGTACTGTTGTGGAGTATTTCGTAAACAGTTTGCATCTTTGACCCATATCATATTTTGCACTTTTGCCTTACAAATAACCTTTCCTTATTTGGTCTCAATAATCCCAGGTGACCAGGCTTCTCTATAATCACGAAAATCTCTTACCATTACTGACTAACCAACCGTGAATTTCTTGGAAATAGCTCCATGGTTGGAGTTAAGCTGAGTCTCCATCTTCCAGTTCCGTCGGTTAATAGTTTCCGTAATCAATTTTAATTTTTCTAATGATGTTCTAATCTTCCTTTCGAGTACAGATTCTGCTGGAAAACATTCAGGAGGTAGTGCATGGCTCGATGTTGGTCTGTATTGTAATAAAAGCTTCCTCAGGATTTCTTCCGTCTTTCCCCCATCCTGCGCTTGAATTAATACTCTTTCATTTATTATTATTTTTTTTACTATTTGTCCCCTGCGTTCCTAGTGGAACATACAGCTTCAGCAGCACGTCTTCAGCTCACTCTGTTTTCTGCAATCTTTTGAACCTGGCTCCGCAACAGTCCAGAAGCTCTCACTTCTTCCTCGCACCATCCCCTCCATGTCACCCTCAGCTGGTATGCCCAACTAGTCGTTCCCCATCTGGCTTCAACTCGGGGGCCTGGTGCATGATGCCCCCAGCCAGCCTTCTCAGTGTATGCCCAATCCATCTCCACTTCCTCCTGCATATTTGTTGAGTGGTAGGTTCTTGGTTGGTTCGTTCCCAGCCAGAGTTCCTTGTCCATTATTCTTTTTGGCCATCTGATCTCCATCTTTGGTACTGAACGTAGGCAGTTGTTGATGAATGTCTGTAGTTTGTTGGAAATGCCTTTCATAACGCTCCAAGTCTCTGAAGCACACAAGAGCACGTACTTGACATTGGTGTTGAAAATCCGTATCTTGTTCCACATGCTGAGTGGAGAAGATCTCCACACTGGTTTCAGGTTAATGAACGCCTGTCTTGCTGTCTTTCCGATCCTGGCTTTGACGTCCTCATCTGTGCCGCCACCTGTAGTTGAAACGATGCTGCTTAGATAGGCAAAAGAGGCTACTTCTTTCAAGTTTCTCGCGTTGATGGTGATTGCAGCTTCTTGTTGTTGCCGGTGGTGGTGTTGGTTGGATATCATCATCACCTCTGTCTTCTCTACGTTCACTTGAAGTCCCCTTTTTGCTGCCTCGCCTCTTCTGTCAACTAATTAGTTTTCGCCTATAGATGTTCAAGTTTTTGTGACATTAGATACAGGCCATTGGTGAAATCCAAATCTTCTAAGCTCTTTTCCGCAGTCCAGCGTATCTCCCTTTACTCGCTCCTCATTGTTTGTTGCATGATCCAGTCGACCACAATCAGAAATATCATGGGTGATAGTAGGCAGCCTTGTTTTACTCCTGTTTTCACTTCGAAGGCATCACTGAGCTTCTTATTGTGAATTACTTGGCATGTGGCGTCTTCATATAGTTGTTGAATGACCTGATCATTAGACTGATGGTGATACCAAAGAGATTTATTGTGATAAAATGCATTGGATGCACTCGCTCAACTGATATAACATAGTCAAGTCGCAAGTGTTGGTTGGTCTTTTAATACAATTGGCAATATGAAGGCCAACGAAACATATTTCTTTAGCATCTGGATTGCTGCAAATTACTGATATGAAGCAACACACGTGCCGGTACAGCACAATAATGAATATAAATCGAATGCAAAGTATAAGTCACAGTAAGATAAGTAATGAAAGTTTAATGGAAAGTATAATTCAAAAGAGTATCTACATGTGAAATATGAATCTAGAGTTTCAGAATCAAGTTAGTAGCTAATTTTTCTATACATCACACCTCCAATTTTAATTCAATAATTGATTATTTGTCATCGTCTGAAGTCAATACTGAGACCTTTAAGTAAGCAAACTAGTAAAACAAGAGTCTGCATTTATAAAAGTCAGTGAATCCTATTTAAATCCCAATGAATGGAAATCTGGAGCATTAAGTTGTGCATAACAGCAATTGTGGAGTTTAGGTTTATCGATAACTACAGGTATAAAGAATACTTGTAACTGGTTTCAAAATGTCGGGAAATATTTCAAATTACCATCACGATATTTAAACAGTCTAACCATAACAGCATTTATAGAATATGGTGCATTCACATTAATTTTATGAGTTTTTAGCACATCCTCTCTTTGACCTACCCTTACTTTTTTGAGAGGCACTTCATACACCAGTGTTACATAACTTTCAAGACCACTTTCTGTTTATTGGTATTGCATACATATAACCAATACAGTCGACTTCAAGTATTTGAGCTGTATATCGCTATCTTCAACCTGCCTTTTCTTTGTTAAAGATCATGGTAATATTTGGTAGTGAAGATAAGTTACAAACAATAGCTAACTGACGGCAAGGATAATTTGTCATATTTTGTTTCTCCAGTTTTGTAATAAAAGTTATCAGAAGTAAATAAACTTTCACCAGCCTTTCTTCTATAAATCCTTGTATATTACCTTTGTCAAGTAATTATTACGGATCTTTGTAGGTTAGACAGGTTGCAATTATGTTAAATCAATGACATTTTTCTCCTTCCTATTCATGGCAATCCAATTAAATTAATGTTTTTTTCCTGAGTATAAATACCATGTGAAGAACTAAGTCATCTTTTATATACTTTGTTTGTTTTCATTGACTCGAAATCAATAAGTTGTGCAGAGTTAAGTGTATTGATTTATCTCATAGTCTATCTTTAATTAAGAATAGGTCACTGAAATCAGAATAGCGAAAGAAATGTACCATAGGTTAAATTTTCGATAAATGAGTATATATAATATTTCACCGTGTGGTCAGTAGTCAACACCAACTTTGTTGAGTGCTATCAAACTTTAGAAACAAATAATAGGTTCTCATATGAGGTAAAACTGTGGAAGTGGAAATAAATTTAAACGGTGAAATAGCGAGAAGAAGTGTTCCTTTTGTAAGGCATATAAAAACATTTTCAGTTAGACGAACAAGTTGTGAATATTATCACTGATATACTAGCGTGAACTTATTTGAGTTGTGAGCAGCTGAAGTCAAAGGAAGTACGAGAAACAGATATGCCTATTACTGGACTTAATTTAAAATAGCAGGTTAATACTTTTTAGTTGTCCATATTTTTTCTAGAGATTCATTCAAGTTCTCATCTTTCAAATTCATTAAATACTGAATACCACTAAAATAAATACTTAGTAGTGAGTAAAGCGCTTAAATTACTAGTAAAACAGGAAATCCTGTCAACTAAAAATTTTATGAGTCGCCGTTGAAAAAAGAGTAGTGAATAGACTTGCAATCTATTACAAAACAGTCAATTTGGTGAGTCCTTGGAAAGCCCAAAAGTGAATAGCAAACAAACACTAAACTTTGTAAAAAAAACTTTGAAGCTGAAGTAAGGAGATCTCTGAATTAGTATTCAAAATATTTCACTAGATATAACTAAAATATTCAACAATGATGCAACAAGACAGTGATTGATTT